GTGCACACATTATGGTATGTAGGTGTCTCTAGACCTGGTGGTTTTCTACACATACTATATTGCATGTTATTACTAAATAGCAATGTTGATTCATAATTTTTTTTCTGTAACTACCTCATTAATAAATTAATTTTTTTTAAAACATTTCCATACAAAAAAAGTGGCCATCACAAAAAGCAAGTACAGTAATTACCTTTTCTAAATATTATCAAGTGTTACCAGATACAATGTGAGAAAAGATAGTTTTATAGAAAATATCTATACACATCTTATTTTGTGAAAGTGAAAACATATTGCCAATGCATTTGTCAGCATAGAATTATGTAGGCTTTCGGAGTGATGGAAAGGTAGTTTAATGAAGTTTATTAATCTTGAATTATTCCGAGTACAGGCCATACTTTTTCCACTAATGCATATTTTTAAACTACCGGTAGGGATTTTGCAAAAACAATAATGAAATAAAATACTGGTATAAAAAATAATATATGAACACCATCAAATATACCAGGCGAAGTCACAGCCGTAAGACGGATGGGGCGATCCGCTCAGGGGCCTGCAAATTTTTTCTTAAATTTATTGAGTAGCAGAACAAAAATTATCAAAATCAAATTATGCCCAGACAACAAGGTAAAGGTCACAGACAATTAGGTATTCACACAAGTAGACCTCCACAGCAACAATATTAATTAAGTACCGGTATTAATGAAGTCAAAGCTACTTTGGGCGCGAAAGTTAAGAATATAAAGCAATGTTAATTGGGATTCTTTGTTATTTGTAGTCTTTAAGGTATTAACATATTTTTAAAACCTAACAATATTTTTAAACGAGAATATAACTTAAATAATAAGAGAGAAAAAAATAGTTTAAATTTTAAAAAAAACAATGAATGTTCTATAATTTATTTTAAAAGCTTCTTAAGCAATTTTAAGTTCCAAAGGATGCTTGTGCAGTATGCGTCAAACGTAACAATACTGAAACTCCTGCATTTTGAACATGTCGTACCACTGTCAATGGTGCAAAGACTGCCAACACCACTGTTCTTGCTCATTAAAAGGAAGATATGTTTAGCAGCTGTGGTTGCAAACTGGTCTCTCGACCAAGGGAAAGACATTCATAGTAGTGAGCAATGTTCCCTTTAAGCTCTCACAGACGCCGCGCACCAGTTTTGAGTATCGGCGCAGCAAATTTCCATGCAAGTGTGTGTTTGTATTTGTGGGCTGTAAAATTTTGCACACAAAAAAATCAATGCTGTAAAACTTTGCACACAACTGTATGATTTTGCACAGGAACCAGCAAACCTTAACGGGAACATCGGTAGTGAATAGTGAATTTATTTTCTCTCGTACGTAAGTGATTGTGACGGGGACCTTGTTTGAGAAACGTTGGCATAACTATCAGAGAAGATTCCAATTTAATAAGAAAGCACCAAGTAATGCAGTTATGGTGTTTATAATGATTAAATTTCGCCATTATTTTGTTCATTCTTGGATTTTGTACAGTTAGTTGTGCCTTTCCAATAGGCGAGGGTGTGCTTCAATCATAAACAAGTAGTTTGTTTGTTATTAGTGGGAATGACATGTGCGGTTTTGAAGCATTTCCTCGGAACCACATTAAGGCTGGCACCTGAGTCAATCTGACACACGGTTTTCTCCCCAGCAAAGATCATTTCAGCTTTTATGACCTTATTATGTTGCTGTTTGCTCTTTACAGCAAGCACAGTTTCATCATTGGAAGATAAAGAGTAGCAATCATCACAATCCTCTTTCACACATTGTAGATTTTTCTGGTTACATTTAATAACTAAATGATTTCTATGTTTGCAGATCTTACACACTTTGTCCCATGCAGAACACAATTCTTTCTTGAAGGTATGTATCTTTCCACAAAATGTACATTTAGACGGCTTGTTAATTTGAGCAGTGTTGCTTTTCTGGTCTCTCTTGCCAGACAGTACAGCATTGGCCTCGCCTAGACTTCTTGCACCAGCATCTCTTTGGGCAGTGTTCTCCTCTAAAAAAGTGTCTCTCCTGGTTACATTGCCTACCACAATTCTGTCTCTCACCAGAGTGTCCACAATGTTGTTGCAAAAATTGTGCGTCTTCGCTAATGTGCATAGTACTGCAATGTAATCCTCAAAATTTTCATGAGGTTTCTGTTCCCTATTATTAAAAAGGTACCTCTCAAATTTCTCATTTATCCTTCCCATGAAATGATCATCAAGCGCACTTATGATATCCTTTACATTGTGCTTTTTCTTTTAGAGGCATGCCATTGTATGCATACAGTTCCTCTGGTTCTAGGGTGTGTAGGAATAGAGCTTTTGTATATTCCTCCTCATCCTCTGTGGTTTATTTGTTACAATACAGGATGAACTCTAGGCTTTTTATAATTTCTCTCCGCCAGTCTCAATAGGCTGCCACCATGTTATATTTAGTACTACTATATCTAATACAAGGAAAACTAACACATCTGCTCAACTTCGTGTCTAGATTCTTAATGGCAAGTAACAAGCAAAACAACTTAGCCTCTCATATCTAAATACAAGAAAAGATTTCATGCATTGATAAAGGGAAGTAAATGTGACAATACAAAACAATGATAATACAACACATATATTTAAGGTACCGTAATTCTTATAGAGGCTTACACTATTTGATTATAAATATCGCACTGTTCCAAAAATTGGCAGCTCCTGATTATAAGCCGAAAACTTACTTCCCCGTGTTCAGTATTTTAAAAAAGTTTTTATTCAACTTCACACGGTAATAGACTTTAATAACACTGTATATTAAACTACCTTTACATCAATATAAATGTCTATAATTTGAATATAGTCCTTCCAAAGTATCAAACATGTGCAGTGCAATCTGTTTTCAAATTATATTTCATTATAAAAGTATAAAGAAAGGGAAAGGTGTTAACTAAAAATTGTAAGAATTTAACTAGCGCATACACTTACACATTTCATTATTTCAATTTCACGACAATTTAATTTTTTTTTACTAGTTTTTTATTTTATAAACAATTATTCTTCCTAAATCGTTAATTGAATTTTTTGTAAATTATGTGGAGTGGGTAAAAAAAAGTGCTAAATTATATCTCAAAGAGGCACTTTGTAATTTACCTGAGCCTAAGCCTAAAGACAGTTATAATAATAATATAATAAAAGACAGTAATAATTAATAATAATAATAATAATAATAATTAATAATAGTATAGTACCGGTAATAGTAGATTAAAATTCCAAATAAAAATTTCAATGAACTGAATAATTCAGAATATAATAATAGTATTAATAGAGTAATTGATACTTCAGTCCAAACTTCTTTTTTACTAACTCGATTTTCCCTCAGATAAAATTACATATTATGAAATATATTATAATGTCTTTTGTAAACATATCATTAATAAATGATTAATATCATTATTATCATGTCTTCTTGACATAATTATGATTTATAAAAATGACCAGTTTTAAAAACCTTTCAATTTCAAATAATGATAAGTTTCTACAAAACATTTTTTTTTTCTTTTTGACTCTGGTAAAGCTTGGAAATATTTAGAAAAGGTAATTATTATAAATAAAGTAAGTTGTTTTGTTTTTACATTTGACATTTGCATTCAAAGTGATTAATGATATTATTATTAGCAGTATTAGCAGTGTTACTATTACTAGTCAGTGCTTTTTGTGAAGTCAAACTTTTTTTTGGAAGGAATTTTGTTTGTATCTTTTAATTCATATATAAATTAACTTAATTATTAAGTAGTTAACCCCAAAAATACTTAAATAAAAAATATAAGCTAAAACTACATTACTATACTATACTGATACTATTTATTAAAGTAAATAACTGAGAGGTTGGTTTTAAATGAAAATGTATAGTCATCATAGTATAGTACATAGCATATTATATAGTATAATATAGTAGTATTGTATATATTGTAGTAATTAATTATAAAGACTTATTGGCGGTTTGGCCAATAAGTAAATTTTTGCAGTATTTCTATTTTTAAATTTTAGACATTCAGTTCAATTCATTTAAAAATATGTTAATGTTAAGATGAGGAAACAAAGTTACAGTAGGGTTACCATGCCATGCGTCAGGGTTCCTCGGACATGTCCTCTTTTTAGTTAGGTCCCTGTCCGGGCGGCTTTTCAGAAATATGGCTTTTACTTTTGTCTATTCTATGCTTTTCCCCCTATCCGTCCCCGATCGATTCATTCTTTCTTACCATTTCTTGTTCCCGCGCGCCAGCAACATTTGGTTCAATGGTAACTGATAAACTGTGTAAGGGCTACTAAGGTAACCACCGAAACTTTGGGTTCTGGAAGACATTTTTGAAAACATAGCGGTACTCGGTACCGGTAACGACGTGAGTTCATGATAAACTATAATTTATTTTTTCAGTTAAAAAATATAATATTTTATTGAAAAAATGCATAACGTGTTGTTGTTTTTTTCTGACGCACACTAAAAACACAATAGTAATAGGTACAAGGTTGTCGTGCAGGTCGATAATAACTGGGAAGCCGAAAATGAATATATAATTATAATATTGAAATTGAATAATTTTTTTTATTGGACATTAATAATAATTATAATATTAATAATTCTTAATATTATTTCTTATGTCTTATAATTATGGCTCCGTTGCCAATAATACAAAAATATAAATATAATGATTTAAAAGCGCACGAAAAAATGCCAACAAATTAAATATATATTATATATAGTCATAGTCTAAATAATTTGAGATTATTCTCGGATAAACTTTTCCAAATTTTTCATAACACTAGAGTCAGCTGGGGGGTAAACAGTTTTTAACCTAATTTATTTGGTGGTCCTTGCAAGTTTGGTAGTTCTTGGGGGGGGGGGGGGGGGGGGGGGGTAAAAAATGTCCTAAAAATAATTGACATGATTTATGGACGGCCCCTGAATTATTATCAAGAACTGGCCTTTTAAAAAAACGAAAAAAAAAAAAAATCAGACTTTCTTTTCAGAGTTATCCAGCCTGAACTCTGAACCAGTACGGAGATCAGATATGATTTATTTACCTATTTGATCAATAAATTTAATCAGTCTTAGTCTTAGACGAAAATGAGTTGCAGTGAGGATTTCTTTACTCAATTTACACCCTTGACTAGAGAAGGAAGACCCGTTAGAGACGACGATGGCTTACTGGTGTTTGTGAGAAGAACTGGTAAGGCATTGTTGATAAGTAAGCTACCGGTAATTTAAATAAGCTACTAATAACTAACTACTTGACTTGAATAATTCTTGATACAAATGTTCTGATCTAAGTTTTGGTCCTGTAACTTACTTTACTTTACCAAAAGTTCTTAATTGTCGAAAATTCAATACCCGGTACACGATACTATTAAAATATAGACAACGTATTTTATTACTTACTGCATTTTTGTATCTAATTAGTAGGTATTTCAAAAGACGCACGCGCATCCCTTCTGCGCAGTCGAAAAATCACGGAAAAACTTGAGCTGCAATATAGCTATACGGCATAGCGAGGGTGTCGTTTTTTTGCGTTGTACGTCACTGTTTCCTAATAATAGTATTTAAATTATCGGTGACGTGGAGCACATATTTTTCCAAACATGTGAATACCATATTTACAGCATTTAGAATCTTGTGACCGGTAACGCATTTAATTTTTCATCGGTATGTACGTTAATTGCTTATTACTTTTTAATGTAAAACTCAAACACATAGTGGTTTAGCCCAATACTGCTTCATTCATTCACACATTTTAATAACTTTACTTCATTAAAATTAGCTCAAACGCACAAAAGTTATGCCAATCCAACTGGAAGGTGTAAGAAAATAAAATTGTTAGTAGTCACCCGAGTCATCCCCCCTCACAAAAAAAAGTGGGTTGTCGGAAATGGTTGTTATTACCAATTTAACTTAAAGATATTTTCATTTATTCATTATAGTTCATCTTTGATAATCCGTGGTAGACTAATTAGTTAATAAAGGGAAAACTGTTTTACAATATTATTAGAAAGTAGTACAACTTAATAAATTAAATAATTTTAAATAATTGTAGTTCGTGTAGTCCGGTGAATTTCGGACTTGTTTTGTCCCTTGATTTATATAATTATTATATGTAGTAGTAGTAATACTACTACTATAATATATAATGCTAGTTATTAGTGGTATTTATAAATTATAATTAATGATAATAACAAAATAAAAGCAGTTGCTACCACTATTAAAAATATACTATTATCAATTGTAATTCCAATAAAATATGGTAATGCATAATTATTTTTTTTTTCGTACATATTTATTTTTTGTGAAAATTGCGTCACTGAGTCACTGTGACTTGTTTAAAATTAAAATTAGATAACCTATGAATTAGTCTATAACAAGTTTATTAAAATAAATAAATAAATAAGACTCTACATCATCATAGTAATTATATCAAACTAGGACAGAGGCATAAGAAAATGTTAACATTTATATCAACAATAATATATTTCTAATTAAATAAACAAAACAAAAAAAGGAAATAAATTTAATAAAAACATCACTTGAATAATATTAAAAAGAAACTAAAAATTGTATAGATTCAGAATTATGATTAGTATTTAATGTTAGGCTTCTTTTGGGTGGAAGAGAAAATTTTACATTTCTGTTGCAAACTTTGGAATTCCTTCCATGGCCCATATCCAATAAGGCGGAATGTTTGGATGCAGATGGCGGCGACAAAGTTTATGAAGGAAAAATGTGTGGGTTTCATCAACAAGACAAAGAAGTCACTATAGGGCATTCTACCCGGAAAATGGCAGGCAGAAGATCCCCATTACCTTTTAAATATTTAATGACATACTCCGATAAGGGTATGCTTGTAATTAGTTTTATGGGTGATATTAGTATTTGTTATATATAATTACATGCGTTCAATTTTATATATAAAAAAAGACTACTTACCTTTTTATAAATATAATGATTTAAAATTTAACACAAGCATAATAAAATTAGTTAAAATTCAATAAACATGTTATTTTTTTCAATTTTTCCTGTATAAATAATGATTTTCCCAATTTTTCTGTTCACTTTTTTCTGAACATACCCTCGATTAAATATATAAAAAAATAAAAGTCTTGATGTTATATAAAAGTTTTGTTGTTTATTGTGTTGTATATTGCATTGAGAATGTCTCCTGAAAGTTTGGTAGCATTATCTTTTAAAATAAAAAAGTTGTGGACAAAATAAAGCAGAAATGTGGAAAGTTGGTCACAAGTTTTTTCGTTAAATACAAAGATAAATAAAGGGGTTAAAAAATTCACCAAAAAAATCATAACTTTTTTTCCATAAAAGATAGAAAGATGAAATTGGTGTTTTTGCAAAGCTTATAGCGAGCCCTTTAAAATGGTGTATCATTTGTGGCTATTGGACAATATTTAAAATGTGTGTCAAAGTACCTATAATTAGGCTACTTATCAGTCTTATCACAAGGAAGAGTTATTCACACAGTCAGCTGGTAATAACGTTTAGCATTATTCCCAGCCCACTGCCTGCCCCCTCCCTTTACTTATTTCATAATCAATAAGATTTTCAATAAGAATTTTATTATTAAAAATCTGTCTGTCTCTACCTGAACAACAACCACTGAGAAAATTCTACTAGGGTACCAACTAGAACAACAAATTAGGCTCTGGGGCTATCTTTTGTCATTTCTCTGCAATATTTGTGGTTTATTCAGAGACCTCCCTCGCCTCTTCCAACATTGAGGTATTCTTCTCACAAAGGAAATGTCAGCATCAAGATGACATCAACAAAGTAAAAGTATTTGCTATAAGTCAATTTAAAAATAAAATATTAATAAATAATTATCAATTTTGTGTTGATCTATCATTTCAAATATAATAATTTTAAATAATTACTGTCTCATTTGATAGGAGAATGCTGTCCATATGCCATACAGTATCTCATGGGCAATATTTCATATGCCAAAGGTCATATCCCATGTGCCATCTGCCAAATTCCATATGCCTTAGCCTTAGCCTTAGGCCAAATCCCATATGCTGTAGGCCATATCAGAGAGGCTATATATCATAGGCCATATCCCTTGTCCTATTTATTTAACGAGTTGCACAGAACTTTTGTAGTTTTGAGACTTACTTGAATAATTATTATGTGCCAGACCTTTACATGTGCCAGAAATATACATGTGCCAGAACTATACATGTGCCAGGTCAATACATGGGCCAGGTCTATACATGGGCCAGGTCTATACATGGGCCAGGTCAATACATGGACCAGGCCATAACATGGGCTAGGCCTATACATGGGCCAGGCCTATACATGGGATAATCTTCTGGTTTTCTTAAAGTAATATTTATTGTTAAAAAATTAATGTTGAACTTTCAATAATTAACAACCTGCTGTGAATTACTTTTGTTTTGGAGGTGGCTCTTTTAATATAATATTAACCTTAAACATATATTGTCATTGGTTGGTCTACTTTTTGTCCCAATCGCAATATTGTAGAAAAAACTAATCTTGAAGAACCAAATTCCTCTGGTTGATTATCCCCTCGAGGTAAAAAATCAGTACTGGTAAGTTATTAAGGTGAATTTAGAAAATCCAGTATTAAAACACTCTTTCTGTATATTACTATAAAAATAATACGAGTAACAATGCTCCAATGAATAAGGAAGAGCTCATTTGTAATGAATAAGGAAGAGTTCACTTGTAATGAATAAGGAGGAAGAGTTCACTTGTAATAAATAAGGAAGAGTTCACTTGTTAACAGAATCTCAAGGTGTTACCGGATTCCCTAAAATCAGCCATTTATATATACACTGTGATGGATATGCAATGAAACTTATTTTGGCATAAACATTTGTAATTTTCTTTGGAATGAGCTATTAAAATATCTGACTAAAGTGGATCAAGGTTGAAATTTTAAAAAATTTAAGACAAATATTTAAGCTAAAAATATGATTAAAATGATTTTATAATAATATGTTACTGCATGCAGATGGAGAATACGTAAGTTTTCATGACAGCCAGATTCACATGGAGGGTCTGGACAGTTACATTAAGAATGATATAATGACAAAAGCAAGGAATGCAGTTGAATCCTCCTCTGTGGACCAATACGGTCTCCATGACACAAACTCCGATCATGACATCAACCCAGCCAACAGTATTATGTTGCATCCCCAACTTCATCAGAATTGCCAAGTAAGTCACTGAAATCTTTCTATGCTGATTTAAAAAAACACAGATTTATTCTATAATATATAGTTAGGTTTATATCGTTTGTCTTAATGAATTTTAATTGAACAAAAGTGCATACAGCATGAGGTCTCCTTCTTGGAATAATGTGGGAGGGGACACATAAGAAAATGATGTTTTTACTTAGTACTGGTATCTCCAGCTCATTATTTTATTTAATCATTGGGAGCCATTAAAAGGAAGAAATTGTCCTACTTTCTATTTAATTCATCAATATTATTTGACAAGTTGAGTTCATGACAAGAGTGCCATTTCATCATAATACTCTCTAAGGTACTACAGACTAATGTCCAGTGCTCACCAATGCAAGTAATAAGTCCACATGTTATGCACACTCAGCATAATGTTTTACAACTACAGGTATGTCTGACTCTAATGTGTAACACTTTTAAAGGCACTACTTACACTGAGCACTCATTTTGAGTCATTTAGTAGGTTATTTGTAATTTAATAGGTTATTTGTAATGTAGTACCGGTAGGTTATTTGTAATGTAGTACTGGTAGGTTATTTGTAATGCAAGCTGTAGAAAAATCCAGCCCATTGCTTATGGGATTATAAAACTTGAACAACTACCCATTGACTCTCAAGAACTTGAACAACTACCCATTGACTCTCAAGAACTTGAACAACTACCCATTGACTCTCAAGAACTTGAACAATTACCCATTGACTCTCAAGAACTTGAACAATTACCCGTTGACTCTCAAGAACTTGAACAACTACCCATTGACTCTCAAGAACTTGAACAATTACCCATTGACTCTCAAGAACTTGAACAATTACCCATTGACTCTCAAGAACTTGAACAATTACCCATTGACTCTCAATTAGAACGTGATAACACAATCTAGATGGACCTTGTACAAATTATGTACCATAATAAAGTGGTCATCATATATATATATGCCGAAAGAAAACAAAGTGGGCAGCACAGCCGAAAGAAAACAAAGCGGCGGACAGCCAAAAGAAAGAAAACTCAAATAAATAGAAGCCACAGATAGTTTCTGGCTCAAACTCGCTGAAAAAAACCTCCTATAGTTTGTCTGTGTTTGATTGATGATTGTCAATGTTTGCTTTCGACACTAGACAAATTTTCAATGTTTAGATGACAGTGGCTTATCAGAGATGGTCATTGTGGTGTAGAATTTAACTTGTGAGATTATAATTCAAATAATTGTATATCTTGATTCGGTAATAATAATTTTGATTCAAACAAGTTATTTCACTGAGAGCGCATCGCTTGGCTGCCTTTTGAATCATTTTAAGAACTGGTTGTTACCTTCTTTTCTTATGTACTGAAAGAGACAGTGGTCAATGGTATTATATAAAATGAGTAAAACAAAGTAGGGGTAAAACTGAAAAAAGGAACGCAACAAAACAACAAACGTGTCGGCAGAAAGCCTTGGTCAGCGAACAAAACAACAGAAAAAAACGGTATGAAAATAAAATAAAAAATAGCACTTAGCTTAGAAGTAGTATCCGTGGGCAGCAAAAGAAATGTGACAGAAAGTAAGTGAGTGAGAGATTAAATAGAGAAGAGCGTAATAAAAGAGGAGAAGTAAGTCCACTGCGATAGGTCGGAACGTGCAGGGGCGGAGCTAGGTTCAAGCTGTGAAAAGAGACATGACATTCATCCCATGTGGCGTCAATGTGCCATAAGTCAGGATAAGCTTGTGTTCCAAATTCTGCCGGCTGGGTGTGTTTGTGCTAGCATTATGTCAGTGGCATTACAATGTCATTTTATTCATGACATTATTCATTTTTTTTTTCACTCAAATGAATTTACATTTGCAAAGATATATGGTCACTTTTATTAAAATGAGGTCAATCTTATTAAAATGAGGTAATCTTATTAAAAGGTCAATCATGTCTACTTATCTGTTAAAATTAACAATATAACTATTATGTGTGTAAATGGATTTATTATTATTTGGGAGACTTTTTTTTTAGTAAACTAATGCTCTATACTCTATACATTATACAGCAACAAAGTCATCACCACAGCAGCACCTTGCTACAGCAAAATCAGCTCCAGCTTCAGCATCTCAAGAATCCATCCCAACAGCTGTGTGCTGCTACCACCGGACCCCAGGCACAAACACACCAGCAGCACGCTGTGCATAGGAGAGCAGACGGTGAGCACAGTAGGTTTCTGCCGTTTCAGTTTTATTGGTTGACGATGTGGCTCTAGATATTTTACAACAATGTCTTTTTCTGATGAATTAAGTATTGTACCAATTGTACCTGAAAGCACTGTAAATTAAGTATTGTACCAATATAACTCCAGTCAGGACTGTGAATCTGTACCAGGCAGAAATGTGATTTAAGTACCACCAGTGTACCAGGAAGGTATGTGGTGGTAACACGGTGTTTGAATTAAAATTAAACACATTGTACCAATAGAGGCAAGCGGCCATGTTAATATCATAAAATGTGACTCATCTCTCGCAGATTTAACTGAGCATGCATTGAATAAAACAGATGACGCCCCTTCAACAATGATCATCCCGCCCGATTATATGTCGTGCACGACAGAGTCAACAATAGTTCAAACCAGTGCAAACACAACCCCAGCACCCATGTATACCAAGCCTGGCGTCATCGGCGGTCGGGAGAACGTGGTCAAATCTGAACAAGTTCACAATTGCATTATGGGAGAAAGTCAAGAGACCCTTCGGGGCTGCAATCCTCCGCCGATCTCAGGTGCTACCAAAACCACCCAACCACCGCAAGGTAGGGGGGGGGAAAGAGAAGAAAATATGAAACTTTTATAACGAACTTCTGTAGTGGAGGTTGAAATAAAAGATATTTTGTTTCTTCTTCTAGTCATTTTCAAACATGGAAATTTTTTTAAAATTTGCACATAAAAGTAATGAGTACATTCTTTAAGAGCATAGATTCAAATATGAGTACGTTCTCTAAGAGCATAGATTCAAATATGAGTATGTTCTCTAAGAGCATAGATTCAAATTTCTTTCTATTCTGGGTACTTCATTTTGTGAGCTCATAATGTTTTCTTCTCATTTCTTTTTGATGGGGGACAAAGAACGATCACTCAAATGCTATTTCAAAAAGTTTATTTGGCTTTCAGCTATCTCCCTTTGCTAAATAAATAATCGCAGTCCAACACAATTTAAATAAATAATAGTTGTAAAAATAAAGGAAATGTTTAGCTTAGTCCTCTGTGATAAATATATTGTTTGTTATTCTTCTCTGTGATACAGATGTCGTCTGGATGAACATAAAGACCCCCGAAGCAAGGATGAGAGACAAAATAGCCACCCAAAATTTAATTAAGATAGTCACTAGGCCAGATACTCAAGCCAAACTGGCCGACAAGTCCACCAAGAAGAAGGTAGTAATAACAGAATCAAATTACAATTTAAGAATTTATTTGATTTTCATAGTTTGTCATTACATCCATACATTACAATACTGAAAGACTTATTATCGTATTAAGTATCTCATTATTCATTTTAAAAACTAAAATATTATTTAAACTTTACAATGGACAAGACTTCATCCTTACATAACATGCTTACATAACATGCTTACATAATTCCGTTGATTCAATTATTTTCCCCATCTATAAATCATTTAGGTGGTTTGGCAGGAGATTGGTGAAGAGATGGGACGACTGGGATTTATATTTGAGAACCCTGGTGACAAGTGCTCTCAGAAGTGGCGTAACATCGAGCGAGGATACAAAGATTACGTGATGAGAAGGTCAATGCCTGACACAGGAACTAAAAGGGAACCGGAGTTATACAACCTGCTGACCCAGGTGCTGAAGGGCAAACATGTTTATGAAAGTGTTCCCGCGTCCTCGGGGGAGGGTGAGGAAGACGGGCCGTCCAATCAGGATCTAATAGACGAGTTTGTAGACATGGCACCATCTCCCCGAGAAGTTGGTGGCACTGAATCTGTCACACCCAACGCCGGCGACTGTCAAGGTCAGATCAGTCCCGTCACAATGTCTGCATCTCAGCTGACAGGTCCGGACATCTGTATACCAAAAGACACGGACCTATCAGATTCTCCAAGCTCGTCTAGGAATGAACACTACGGTAGCTTTGCTCAGGTTCTAGCAGAGGTCAAATTGCAGAGGTCACACATGTCTAAAATGGAGTCTGTGCTGCTCACCGTGCAACAGTTATTGGAGGAACAGAAGCGGGACCGGGAAGCTATGCACGTGGAGTCGAGGGAAAGATTCGCCGAGCTCAAAGCTCTCATTGAAAATAACCAGAAAGAAAAAATGAAATTTATGAATGACTTTTTAAAGACTATTCAGTTTGGAAAGGGAGGTAAGAGAAAGCGCATTCATGTAGACGGACTCGATAACTGTTCAGACAAATAAATTGAAATTATTTTTTAAAACTGTGTTCAAAACTTCCTTCTGTTGAGGTTCTGTGAGAATACTTTGGTTTTATTGGTCAAACAGGAGTGGAGAGAGAATCTTTGAGGAAAACTTGCCGATGTAAGACGTGTAATGGGTGCAAACATTAAGATGGTCCACCCGGAAAGTGTCAATAATTATAGTTATATCATTGTTTCCAACAACGAGATTATCCTGAACTCCAATACGTAAACATCTCATGAATATTTCGGCTTTTACCATTGGCATTTATATGTAGTTTAAAGTTGTTGACAATATATGCGGTATTTTAAGTTATCAAATAACTTACAGATTATTTTGTACAAATCTGACTGAGACAGAATAGGTTATTATTTTGTACAAATCAGAGACAGAATAAGTAATTTTGTACAAATCTGAGACAGAATAAGTTATTTTGTATAAATCTGAGACAAAATAAGTTATTATTTTATACAACTCTGACTGAGACAGAACAAGTTATTATTTTGTAAAACTCTGACTGAGACAGAACAAGTTATTATTTTGTATAACTCTGACTGAGACAGAACAAGTTATTATTTTGTACGACTCTAACTGAGACAGAGCCAGTTATTTTGTACGACTCTGACTGAGACAGAACAAGTTATTTTGTACAACTCTGACTGAGACAGAACAAGTTATTTTTTTGTTCAATTCTGACTGAGACAGAACAAGTTATTATTTTGTACAACTCTGACTGAGACAGAATAAGCTATTACTTTGTAAAACTATATACTACTACAAAACACAGTAGTCGTCTTAAAAACTTAAGGTTTCGTTTTCGATGTTTATGCCAAAATATTGACCAGTTTCCTATCCACAAAATATTGGCCCGTTTCCAATAAACAACATATTTCACAGTTTCTAATCCACAAAATATTGACCAGTTTCCAACCAACAAAATATTGACCAGTTTCCAAACAACAAAATATTGACCAGTTTCCAAACAACAAAATATTGACCAGTTTCCAAACAACTAAATATTGGCCAGTTTCCAACCAACAAAATATTTACCAGTTTCCTAACCACAAAATATTGGCCAGTTTCCAACCAACAAAATATTGACCAGTTTCCTAACAACAAATATTGACCAGTTTCCAAACAACTAAATATTGGCCAGTTTCCAACCAACAAAATATTTACCAGTTTCCTAACCACAAAATATTGAACAGTTTCCAAACAAAAAAATATTGACCAGTTTCCAAACAACAAAGTATTGACCAGTTTCCTAACCACAAAATATTGACCAGTTCCCAACCAACAAAATATTGACCACTTCCCAACCTACAGAATATTGACCAGTTTCCAACCAACAAAATAATAACCAGTTTACAAACCAACAAAATATTGACCAGTTCCCAACCAAAAAAATATTGACCAGTTCCCAACCAAAAAAATATTGACCAGTTCCCAACCAAAAAAATATTGACCAGTTCCCAACCAACAGAATATTGACCAGTTTCCAACCAACAAAATATTGACCCGTTTCCAACCAACAAAATATTGGATAACTTCCAACCAACAGAATATTGGCCAGTTTCCAACCAACAGAATATTGACCAGTATTGACCAACAGAATAAAAAAATTACTTTAAAATATAAATTAAAATCTTGTTTAAGGTAGATACCAACACTTTATCTTTAAGGTAGATACTAGATACCAGCACAGTATCTTCAAGGTAGAAGCTAGATGCCAGCACAGTGTCTTTAAGGTAGATACTAGATACCAGCACAGTATCTTTAAGTAGATATTAGATACCTGCACAGGTATCTTTAAGGTAGATACTAGATGCCAGCACAGTGTCTTTAAGGTAGATACTAGATACCAGCACAGTATCTTTAAGTAGATATTAAATACCTGCACAGGTATCTTTAAGGTAGATACTAGATGCCAGCACAGTGTCTTTAAGGAAGATACTAGATACCAGCACAGTATCTTTAAGTAGATATTAGATACCTGCACAGGTATCTTTAAGGTAGATACTAGATGTCAGCACAGTGTCTTTAAGGTAGATACTTGATACCAGCACAGTATCTTTAAGGTAGATACTAGGTACCAGCACAGTATCTTTAAGATAGATACTAGATACCAGCACAGTGTCTTTAAGGTAGATACTAGATGCCAGCACAGTATCTTTAAGGTAGATACTAGATGCGAGCACAGTGTCTTTAAGGTAAATCCTAGAGTCCTTAAAGTTCCCAAGTATTTAATATGCCCACTCAATGTTCCCAAGTATTGAATATGTCCACTTAAAGTGGCCAAGTATTGAATATGTCCACTTAAAGTGGCCAAGTATTGAATGTGTCCACTTAAAGTGGCCAAGTATTGAATATGTCCACTTAAAGCGGCCAAGTATTGAATATGTCCACTTAAAGTGGCCAAGTATTGAATATGTCCACTTAAAGTGGCCAAGTATTGAATATGTCCACTTAAAGTGGCCAAGTATTGAATATGTCCACTTAAAGTGGCCAAGTATTGAATATGTCCACTTAAAGTGGCCAAGTATTGAATATGTCCACTTAAAGTGGCCATGCATTGAATATGTCCACTTAAAGTGGCCAAGTATTGAATATGTCCACTTAAAGTGGCCATGCATTGAATATGTCCACTTAAAGTGGCCAAGCATTGAATATGTCCACTTAAAGTGGCCAAGTATTGAATATGTCCACTTAAAGTGGCCAAGCATTGAATATGTCCACTTAAAGTGGCCAAGTATTGAATATGTCCACTTAAAGTGGCCAAGTATTGAATATGTCCACTTAAAGTGGCCAAGTATTGAATATGTCCACTTAAAGTGGCCAAGTATTGAATATGTCCACTTAAAGTGGCCATGCATTGAATATGTCCACTTAAAGTGGCCAAGTATTGAATATGTCCACTTAAAGTGGCCATGCATTGAATATGTCCACTTAAAGTGGCCAAGCATTGAATATGTCCACTTAAAGTGGCCAAGTATTGAATATGTCCACTTAAAGTGGCCAAGCATTGAATATGTCCACTTAAAGTGGCCAAGTATTGAATATGTCCACTTAAAGTGGCCAAGTATTGAATATGTCCACTTAAAGTGGCCAAGTATTGAATATGTCCACTTAAAGTGGCCAAGTATTGAATATGTCCACTTAAAGTGGCCAAGTATTGAATATGTCCACTTAAAGTGGCCAAGTATTCAATATGTCCACTTAAAGTGGCCAAGTATTCAATATGTCCACTTAAAGTGGCCAAGTATTGAATATGTCCACCCTCCTACCATAACAATGGTATGATTTACAGACATGGCAGCACTTCCTTTGAGATCTACGGTGCCACTACGTGGGCTGGATTCTGCCACTACATGGGCTGGATTCTGCCACTATGTGGGCTGGATTCTACCACTACGTGGGCTGGATTCTGCCACTACGTGGGCTGGATTCTGCCACTACGTGGGCTGGATTCTGCCACTACATGGGCTGGATTCTGCCACTGCGTGGGCTGGATTCTGCCACTACATGGGCTGGATTCTGCCACTGCGTGGGCTGGATTCTGCCACTGGGTGGGCTGGATTCTGCCACTACGTGGGCTGGATTCTGCCACTACATTACCTGGATTCTGCCACTACATGGGCTGGATTTGGCCACTACATTGACTGGATTCTGCCACTACATTTACTAGATTCTGCCACTACATTGTCTGGATTCTGCCACTACATTGGCTGGATTCTGCCACTACATTGACTAGATTATGCCACTACATTGGCTGGATTCTGCCACTACATTGGCTTGATTCTGCCACTACATTGACTAGATTCTGCCACTACATTGTCTGGATTCTGCCACTACATTGGCTGGATTCTGCCACTACATTGACTAGATTCTGCCACTACATTGGCTGGATTCTGCCACTACATTGGCTGGATTCTGCCACTACCTGGACTGGATTCGGCCACTACATGGGCTGGATTCGGCCACTACATGGGCTGGATTTGGCCACTACATTGGCTGGATTCGGCCACTACATTGGCTGGATTCTGCCACTACATTGGCTGGATTCTGCCACTACATCGCCTGGATTCTGCCACTACATTGGCTGGATTCTGCCACTACATTGGCTGGATTCTGCCACTACATTGGCTGGATTCTGCCACTACATTGGCTGGATTCTGCCACTACCTGGACTGGATTCGGCCACTACATTGGCTGGATTCGGCCACTACGTGGACTGGATTCTGCCATAACAGGGACTGGATTCAGCCACTAAGCAGTTCCCAGTTTTGCGCCCGAATGTGCTCTCGCGTCTTGTAATGTTATGCACGCCTGCACGTGACCATTGATCTTTTGTGTACAACAATCGAAATCAACACCCGGGTCAATCTGGTAGCGCCCCGTGGCCGTGACCTTGCTCCCGCTCCTCATACAACGCATATTTCATTCTTCCCTGTGATGGAGACTTCCATTTAGTGAACGCTTTGTATTGTTAGCTATTTTTTGGCTTAGCATGTGTTATGATAGTGCTGAACGAAAATAGTCTCAAACATTTTTTTAAAAATTAACAAGAAATATAGGTTTTCAGAATGAGAAAACTGAATATTATGATTTCTTATGTGTCAAAGCCATGGAGTATGTTGTATGTGTCATTCTGCGTCTTAAAGTACAAACCCACTGGCTTCAGTGAGGGGCCAGTGACGTCACTGTAGGGAGTTTTTATGAATTATGCTTATTAAAGCCATAGTACTCTTAAAAAAAGATAAATAATTCTTCCACTTTCTCTCTCTCACTCTGTCCCTCACGCGCTCTCTCTCACTCTCTCTCTCCCTCTATCTCTCTCTCTCTCTCTCTCTCTCTCTCTCTCTCTCTCTCTCTCTCTCTCACACACACTTTTTTCTTGTTACGAAACGTAATTTTTTGACCAGCGCGCCAAGTGAGGGGCCAGTGACGTCACTGTAGGGAGTTTTTATGAATTATGCTTATTAAAGCCATAGTACTCTTAAAAAAAGATAAATAACTCTTC